TAATGCTAGACAATAAGAATTTAATACATCGTTAGAAGCTATGTGCTATCAGCGATCCGGAGGTTTTATGCAGCATTTAAATGAACGCTTCATAGAAAAGCAATTAAGGTATTGGCTGTGAATAGATTTAGGTTAGTTATTTTCCAGAAGCTAGATAATTCTCTACGTTCAGTCACCTCAAGGATGCATTTGCATTAGTTAAATAACATTTATTCTAATTAATTAAAAATCACTGTTGATTTTTTATTTAAAAACTGAGGTATTCAAAACCTTTATTTGGCATTTCTTAAAGAAGAAACAATTAGAGTAAGATTCTACGATTTCATAGAAAAATCGACCACAATTTAATAAGTAGGTCTTTTCTTTTTTTTTTGTTAACGGGGTGGAAAATCCCTTCGGATCTCCTGCTCCTCGGGGACTCAGGAGCTAGGAGTATGTGGTGATACCACTAAAAACCACCCCGACGCCCGGCCTTAGGTGTCCTACTCTGGGGAGGACCCGAGCCATGTTATTTCAGGTGCTCCCCGATTTGACACCATGCCTAATCAGGCCCTATCCCAGAGGAGAACACTTCCCCCTTCAATCGCGGCATGGCGGCCCGATCGCATCTTAATGCAATCAGGCCGGCCATTCCATCCCCTACCGCAGCAATCAATCTGACACCAGAGGCCCCACTCTCTGGTGGCCCGCGGCCCCGTCGACGGCTGATATCGGCGCCGACGTCCTCTACGTTAGAGATCGGCCCTCTCCCAGGTCTCGTCCGTTTTGGTCGACCAGGACCTCGCGTTCAGACGCCCACGCGGGGCAGTCTTCAGTCTCAGTCAAACTAAAAACCTAAGATAGTTGAAACCTTAACATTTTTGGCTTGATCACAATAGGGCATTTGTACCTATGTAAATAAAATTATACAAGTAATGTATAAAACATCCATGGACTTTTATATTGATCAGTAGGCTCTCCATTTTTAATCCAATGAAGTGGCTGACGAATACAATAAATTATGTTTTTATTACTCTTATAGCTCCTGTAGTCTTTTCACTACATCTCACAGTACTTACATATATATTACCCGTAGTGTAAATTGACACAGCCTCTATTTTGCTACGTCCCTGCAGGCCGTCACGAACTCTACGAATGCCTACGCGTTGCTACGAACAGCTATCAACTTTTCTTGAAATGTAAATTGAAGTAGTCAATGGCATTTTGTTCAAATACAAGGTACGTGTACAGAAATACCAACAGATATAGAAATATATTTACCTGTTATTCAAATACTTCATAAATTAGAACAGCTCGTGTATAACAGATTATTTTCAAAAATACTTTTATCACGTACTAATAAAAAAATATGATTAACATAGGACATAAAACTTAGTGTGTACGTTTCACTATGACACACGTCAATCCAGTGAAAACTACTGTGATAATTAAGGATGTCGGGTTAGATCTTGTGGACACTACGACATTTTTGGATATAACACTAGATTCTAAGCTACATATTGATATTGATAAATTATCGAGTACCCTCAGCTCAGCAGCATACGCAGTAAGAAAAATTCGAGAGTTGACTGATGTTGATACAGCATGACTTGTTTACTTCAGTAATTTTCATAGCATAATGTCGTATGGTGTTCTACTGTGGGGGAATGCTGCCGACATTCAAACTATTTTTGTACTGCAAAAGAGAGCGATCCGAGCAATTTATAATTTAGGCAATTGTTGTTAATTGTGGCAGAAATTTAAAGAAATAAACCATGACAGTGGCAGGACAATATATGTAAATGAAAATGTAATATATGTTCATAAAAACAAAGATAGCTTTTTGAAAAGAAGTGATGTACATTCTATAAATATCAGAAATAGAAATAAACTTGTAGTACCCCTCTAGGCTTCAAAAGATAAACAAGTCTTTTCGAGGTCAATGTGTGCGATTTTATAATAAAATCGTAAATAATATTCAATATTATATTTATATTCAAATAATGTACTTAAGTATTAACAAATTTAAATCTTAATTAATTTAGATTAATTTAGCGTAGGCTATTTTGTTAAGTAAAAATTTGGTGAGGGTGGGTAGTGTGTTTTTTTTTCTATTTTTTATTTTACTTCATTTTCCTTTTTATTCATGCAATGTCAGTTGTTGAGATTCGATTTTTTTTGTTAATCTTTCTCTTCATTGTCTTTTACCTTTTATTTCTCAATAACGGACACACTGGCACACATCATAACAATTTTGTGGTATATTTAATGATGCCAATGTATCTATCTGTAAATTGCAAAAGAGTGGCTATGAGTTTGTTTGCCCTTTCTTCTCATAAGGCTCAACCCCTTGGAAACGGGTGGTTGTAGATCGGCACAGGCATATCATCGATTTTGTATAAGTTTAATTTTTATTAAATTTATTTTGCTTACCATTTGGCAAAACAGACATTGTTGCTTTTGTGTGTGTTGATCTATGACTTTAGAGTCTACATAAAAGTTGATTTGACATGAACACATGATATAATCGAATTGCAGCTTGCTTAATACAAATTATTAAGTAGTTCTGGTGGCCTTTTTCTTTTGGTCTTTGCCCTTAGTTTCACTACACTAAAGGAAGCTTACTAAAACAAATACAGTACTCGACTACAAAAATACCCAAGTCGCCATAGCTTTGCCCATTATATTTAGGAATTTTCATTTTCATGATATGATCATCAAAATCTGACCTGGTCATAGGTCATAGTATATTGCTCTTAAACCGCATTCTTATATATAGACGGTTGGTCTGTCCGTCTCTGGAATCGATTCTCAAACTTAGAACTTTGCCATTTTAAAAATGCTCTGCGATACATACGTCAGAGTACAGTTTCCAAATATCATTTTATAATTAGTTCTTCTAGTTCATAGTACATACAATATTAATAAATTTGTTGTAAGATCTTGCTGTTCGTGCAAAATTACATGATACTAGGTCAATGGCAAATACTCTACAGATTCCCTACAAGGCGAGGTAGTAATAATCTTATTTGTGTACATATGTATGCTTGTTAACTGGATCTGTCGAGTTTTCAAAATCGCCCTAAACACATTTATTTGTTACGATGTCAAAAAATCAAACGTCGAAATGTAGGTATAAATTGCCACCATTGAAATGTATCCCTACTTTTTTTGTTACACACAGCAATATCTATATTCTTCTGACAACAGTTTTATATAGCGTTTGTTGTTGTAACAAAGCATCTTAAATTGTGAAGGCATTGGACTAGGTATACTAGTCGTGTTGCACCGCCTGTTAACTTATAAAAACAATATTGTAAATACTTTTGTAGATAATAATTTTTATACTAGATAATAATCATACTGTATTGTGGTTGCACTATTCAATAAGTAAATATAATTTAATAGCTCTACTGTCAAAAAAGAAAAGAAAAGCTTTTATTTGAAAGTAATTTAGTAAATGAATAAAATACATTTTCGGTCTCGGTTCGAGAGCACCTCCCTAACCGCCTCAGCCAGTGTCAGAATCCTAGGCATCTACATCTCGAGCGAAGTTCAGTTTCACGGTCCTTTAGAGGGTAAGGTCAAATTGGCCTCGAAGAAGATGTTGTGCGCTTTTCGAGACACTTGTTGTCTCTCACTACCAACCTGTGGAACGGGTTATCGTCGGTCGGTCGGTGTCGGTCTTTGAAGAAAAGAGCGTAATCTTTCCTCAAAGACCGACAACGTGCTTGTGATTCCTGAGTTGCAGGCGTTAGTTTCACGCGTAGTTTCTTTCCATTAGGTGACCCACCTGCTTTTTTGCCCCCTATTCCATAAAAAAAAATGTGAGGCAAGATAAGATATTTATTCTCATATAAGATTTACATCACTTCCATAAGAACATAGCCATTTCAAATATTATTAGTTTAGTATAGTATTACTAATAGTGTTCATCGTCACAAGAATAAAAACATATCAATATAGATGTATTTAGTTATATTACATATCCATAACAATATTAATAATTGTTATTATGTATTTTATATTTAACATATAACTTGGAAATACAATAAGTACCTTAAGTTAACTTACCGAAAGTATAATTACGTTAATAGAAGTTATTTATTTCGTGGCCGGAATAAAACGTTATGTAAGTAGACAATAAATATTAACTTACTTTTTTAATGGTAGTTACATGTCTTATCTGTAACACCGTTTATTCCCTAATGTATCCATCAAAAGTGTTGTTGAAAGTCAATATGAGAGAATTAATTAGTAATCCACCTGCGGAACGTACAATCGACGAGAAAACTTAAAATTGGATACAAAAGTGTCTTTAGAAATGTTATTGCACCTATTTAAGTTATGGACATTATTTTGCAAACTGTTGTAGGGATGTAATACTATAAATTTTACCTTTTAAAGAGATGTTTAGAATCTCTTTATTATATTTTGAAGTTAATTTTTTTTTTTGTTTTATTGATGATATGATAATCAAGCGATCTCACCTGTACATGCCGTTGAGAGGAATCGAATATGGAAACTGTAAGCGACTTAATTATTGAAAACATGAAGGTACTTTAATTTTCGTGTTATATCAGATTAACAAAGTCATAAATTATAATCATCAACATTCTTTTGTTCTCGTACACTGGTCTCCTAGAATTTTTAGAATAACTGTGTTACTAAATGCAACCATATAAATTTACGTTATAAGCAATATTTGGCATACAATTAAATAAAGAAACGAATATTTTGATTTTATTTTCACAGAAAAATGAACTGAAACTAAAGGAACGAAACAGTTTTCAATGGATTCTAATCCACTTCTTAATAGTTTAAAGAGTGTTCAATCAAAGTTTCAAACAGAAAACCACATACTTTCTCTCGCGACAGTACATAGTCAAAACGTAAAGTTTATCGCGCAAGCTCACGAAGACTTACATAAAGTCGGCACTTAGTTTTGGGCACCGCCGTTGAACGCACGCTGCCACTCGCTGCACAGCGCTACTCACGATACACACGTATCGTAAAAGAAAATGCCTTCTTGGTGGGACTATTTACATTTCAATAGACAGTACCATAACAAGAGAAACTTAGAAGAAGGCCTTTTCCAAATAGCATCTCAAACTTGTAACATTTTAGTCAAAGTCAACAACACCAACAACATTAATTTGACGAGAAATGACAGAAGTGACGAGTATGGGTGTGCGGGTCCACCTAAGGGGAAGAGTTCCATGCAGATATGCGTCCCCAAGTTCAGGAAGAATTCTATCACGTCTGGCTGTAATCCAGGATTGTCGGTAAGTCCACTTGAACTTTTAAAAACTTTGTTGTTAACCTTTCAACTTTTAAAACATAATTGGAAAGGAAACTAAGTAATCTGATAAATATTTATTAATAGACATATGCATGTTTATTAAAAACCAACACAAATTTATTGTTAAACATCTTATGAAACGTACATGGCTGTAAGTTTTAGTAAAAAATTCGTATGTTCTATACAAGCTAATAAATCGATTGAAAGTTTATAAACTTCTGTTTTATTACTATCTAATAGTCAATAAATAATGTAGTCACAACGCATAACTCATAAAAATCAAATGCCATCAAAATATAAAAAGTGAACTAATGTAAAATAGGTCATGTGACACAACGAAAAGTTTTATATTCAAATGACGTCCTTGTCTTCAGTTTAAAAGATGCATAGGCGCGCTATGCATGTGCAGTCCACTTTTATAATTCATCGGTTTAATACGATATATTATAACAGTGCAAATATATCGTTGAAGCTGTGTAGTGAATTGTGTCTGCTGAATTGGAATAATTGCAAGCTGATTCAACTTGAGGTGGGCGTTCTTTTTATTGGTGCACTAAGTATATAGGGTTGTAATTTTTTATTTTATTTGGTCGTGTGGCGATGCGACCGCTGCCACTATATCGATTTTACACGTGAAGGAAGACATCGCGGTGGCAGTAGACGCCGTGGGGCCTCGTCGGTCGACCTTGTTCCAATTATTCACTTGTACTGATCGTTTGATACCTTTTTGGTAAGTTGGTTTGACAAACATTGTCTTTAAAACCAGTTCATTAGAAGCAATCGTGTAACACAAAGTATTCAATATTATACATATATAAACATACGTGAAGAAACTAAGTAGGCAGTTGGATGATCCAGCAAAGTATCTCACCATTTCTGCTTTCATTTGTGAATTTCTAAACTAAATTTAATCACCGAGTTCCTTGAATTTTTGAAATCTATTTTGAATTGGTTGGCTGCTCAGGGGAGAAAGTTCTTAAAGCCCTATTTACTATGTACTAATTTTGAACTTTTTCTTTCATTACACCTTTTTTTGAAAAGGAAGAATGAGAAAAGAAGAAAGTTATAGGATTTTTTTCAACATATTTACGAGTATATAGTAATTTATGTCAGTCAGCATTGACTGTCTGCCTGCTTATTACTATAGCATGTCGTAGTTCAATGTTGCCTATTGGAGCTAAGGTATTTTGCCGTAACTTTTCGGTTTACACGAATTTCTTTTTTTTAAATTTTATTGATGATTTTATAGATATGTTAGACAGAGACATAAAATTAAAATCTCTTTTTACCTGAATTCAAACGTAGATTAAGCTATCTACGTTTGAATTCAGATAAAAAGTGATTTGGTAATAACGAATTGAAGAGTATAATTATATAATTGATTGAATTGTCATTGACACCTATGGCAATTTGAGTCTTATTTAGTAAATGGTGCTGAGGAGCTTTCCCCTATGGAAATAAAGTAACAGCTGATCTCGTGAGCGGCGGGTTTTTAAACGAATTTACAACTTATAAACAAGCTCTGCCTTTTATTTTTTATTATTCATTACACATTAACAATAGCAGAAAATGAAGTAGGTCATACCTAACAATACAAATCCTTATGTCATTATTACAGTATTGTGAAATGCAATATTTACTAAAAGAACGTAAGTACTAAATGCCTATATAATTATTTAGTTTTATAATAAGAAAAGAAAATTACAACTAAATATCGACCCGTTGCTTTGTAAGTAAATGGACACCGGATAAGTTCTCGAGCGTGTGTTGAACCTAAAACAGATGCAATATTTTATAAGATGGCCGAAATTCATAAGGTGGGCGAGCCGACTACGTGCTTTTATTATCGTACTAAATTGTATAAACGTGTAAAATATGTATAAACTATAGCTAGATAAAGTACAAAAGGACAGTACTGAAGAAGAATAATAAAGTATTTTGTGCCCTAGACTTGATTTGCGTTATCATAGCTTATTTCGTTTTTGCTTAGGCCAAAACATGAATACTAACCCGAACATGTTTTTTTTAGCTTGTTTGCTCACCGAAATTGCTTGACTTTGATGGAGCGTAGGTAAACGGTAAACTTAAATCTGTGGAGTGGAATAGCACGTCTCATATCTCGCGTTACATTCCGTTACCTATCGACATAGTCTACGATAACTATGTGGCTCCTCAGTCGTCTGCACAAACTGCGCAATATTATGGACGGCATTTGGGACCCGGCTTGTTCTGGACTATTATTAGACTTGTGTTTGAGTCATTGATATAGGTATATACGGAAAGTATATATTATAGAATTACTTTATTTTGAACATATTACGTTAGGTACTACAATCTTTTCACTCAAAATAATTCCTTTAACAGATATTTAGTTAACATGAACAAAAACGCTAATACAATGACATTGTATTTCAGTGCATTTAACTATGACATGAGCGTGTACCCTTTCGTGTTAATTTATTTATATATATATTATTTCGCGTTTATTGTTTTAGTATGAAATACCTTGGGTATATAATGATAGCATTAAAAAAATTTAGTAAGTATCAATTACTAAAAAAGCAAAGGCAAATATTTTAAAAAGTATTTAAATTAATTTCTCGAGACTTGAGCGCGTTTCGTTTCAGCTAGTTTTTATAGCAGTTTTTTTTACCCAGTTTTTTTAGCCCAGTTTATTTCTTTGTAAAGAGTTTGTAATTGGGTACTCCTACTGGCAAAGAGCATCAATTAACCCGTATATAATTCTAAGATCACATAGACTATTTTTCCTCTACTGAGAACACTAACAATCATATTTTAAAAGTATTAGGAGGAAAGTGTTGACACTTAAGTTGAACGAGGTGCAAACTTTGCCGTCGAGCATGACGCTTGTCATGTAAATTACATTATTTTACATGAGGTCATATACCTGCATTCTTTTTACTAATATTGTTATTAAAACAGACATGCATTACATATTATTAGGCAATAGCATTAACCGCCGAAACGACAACAATCCAGTTTAAAATGTTTTACTATGAAATTACATATAAATTAATACGGTACGGTAAAATATAAGTAATTGTGGTGGTAACTAAAACCATGATTCAACATCCATTATTTTTATGTACCCATGGAATTAGAATTTAAATGAGTTTCGACGGGGAAGCCCTTTGTTTTCAAAATTAACATATCAATCGCACCCCTTTGAGGAGAATTTGCTTTTCATTTCTGTTGTTTTAGATGTACCTAATTTTGCTAACTTTACATACATTTGGCATTTATTTTCTTTATTTTACTTTTAAATATCTGTTTAACACCGGACCGGACTTGGTTCTAAGCGAGCCTTTTACTCGAAAACGCTTATTATGATTTTTTATATTTTGTCAATTTTAGGTATGCTAATGCTGTGTTTGATATGTGTGTGTGTTATATAAGTGTATGTAATAGTACCGTTATAGGCACCGCAGATATTCCTACATATAGCCTAAATATCTCTGATCGTCTCGATCCCTTTGCTTTACGTAGAGATGTTGTTTCACTCTGTATTCTCTATCGTATATATATATCATGGACAGTGCTCCGAGGAATTGTTCGGACTAGTACCGGCCGCAATTTTCCGCCATCGTTCCACGTTCCACGCAAAATTTTCATACCCATCACCTAGATAATTGGCGCTCCACCACTGTGCGCTTTTCAAGACACTTTTTGCCTCGTACAATTGATCTGTGGAACAAGTTATCATCTGCGGTATTTCCGGACCGATACGACCTTTAAACCTTCAAGAAAATAGCGTACTCTTTCCTAAATGGCCGGCAACGCGTTTGTGACTCTTGAGTTACAGGCGTTCATGGGCGGTGGTGGTCACTTTCCATCAGGTGACCCGTCTGCTCGTCTGAACACTATTACAAGTATTTTTTATGGTAGAGGGTACCATAAAAAATACTTGTAATAGTGTCGATTTTTGTATGCATTAAAAATATAATAAAATTATATTCATACAGTTTAGCGAAGAAAAACCTAATTACGTTGTAACTATCGATCGTGTATGCGCAGTAAAAATTACTTGCTCTAAATGACTGACTGATGCATTAAGGTAAAGCGTAAGCATAAGCACTGAAAGAGGATGTTTGGAAATTTCACCCCTAAGGAGGTAAAATAAATGATGACGTTGGTGGTATGGCAGTTCGTAATTTTTATTTAGTTAGAAGCACCAAATATGAAATAATCAGGCGAGCGAAGCCGCAATCACTATATATGTATATGTAAATATACTATGTATGTATATAATTTTTCAAAGACTATATTTAGGCAACGATTCAACAAGCATGATCGTCTCCTCGTGTTGGAGGATTCTCGTTTTGTGTTAGAGGAACACATAAACCTTTCGTCTACAAAGTGATACATACAATGGCCATGAAATTAAGCCTAATCTAACTTTATTCTATATTTATAAAACCAATAAGTTGAACCAATTGAAATCACATGCTATGCTAGACAATAATTAGATAGGTCTCCTTAGAAGTTACGGTAATAGATCACCTTGTATACGATACTAATTCTCTTTAACTCTACATGCATGACTGGGTTCGGTCACCGTATCATTTACAAAATCACTAATGTATAGTACTATAATTTAAAATACATTAGTAAACTAGAATACACTGATACACCAGCAGTAAATTGACATGCAAATGCCTGGTTCCACCTTCAACACATTTGCATACTACATAAACATCTATATCTCGACTACACGCTATCTCCTTATACGAGTACTACAGAATACTACCCGTATAACTACATCAGTGCTTCTGAAACTGATTTGATTTGATTCTTAATTCTAATTTAATTTGTACGATGTGGAACGAAGCAAATACAAATTGAATAGCAATTTCGAATTATGTTAAAGTATGATATTTTTATTTCTCTTCATCCCGTGGGTGTCGTAGACTAAGTCCAAGACTACCGTGATTAAGGTAGCAAACTATGCAGGACAATAGTACCGCAAAGAGAAGGAAAACTTGACACAAACTCTGTACCAACCCGTCTGGCCAGTGTGGTATAGTCGCCCAAAACCTTTTTTTCTAAGGAGAAGCCTATGTACAGTAGTGGACTATTAAAAGCTGTGATGATGATGATTTTTATAATATAGAGGAAAAACGAGCAGATGAATCATCCAATGGTAACTGACAAATCAACAAGACGCAAGTGCGTCCTCCTTTTCAGTGGCCCCTCCAGAATTAGGAAGAGAGACGGTTTGAATATGAATATTTCACAGAATATACTCTACAGAAATTAAGGACTAAAAGGACCACAAATCTTCTATTAATATCGTGTTTCAATTATGTGAGTGAAGTAAGGCGTTAGTTTTTTTAACTACTATATTTCAATACATTCTATGACAATAAAGCATTATTTATGTAGGATAGAATTAGTAGTGTGCGAGTTGAACAGACAGACGTGAATCATAACTATTTCAGCCCCGTCAGTACAGTTTTCTATGCTTTAATTTTTTAAATTTTATTTTACACATTATGCACATTTGGTGCATTGGCGGACTTAATGCCTGTTGATGTAGAGTAAGCGGGAAGTAGTTACTTCTGTAATCAACAATTTCAATATCCTTTCAATTTTTGATCTCTGTGAATGTGGTTTAGGATTATAAATACTACTTCTAAAGTTTAGAACGCTAAGACCAGTCAGTTCTTTACGTAATCAAATTAGTCCTATGTATCATTGTTCACGATGACTTTTACGATAAATATGTACCTACCGAGCTTCGGTCGAATAGCGACGGAAGCTTAGTAACTCACTTTTAACGTAGTTCGCTAAATATTTAGTTCAGTCTTAATGAACTCACATGGTATCTCCAATATCAGACCTAAACTTTCAGACATTTTACAATTTCTTATCCTCTAGTAAATAACTTTTATGAACATAACAATGCACGCGATGTGTTCGTTATATAATTATGATATAAAAATGTTAATTTCTACCCGCAATAACTTTAGAATGTGACTTTTATTGAACTGGAAATGCTGTTATACAACCTACGCGTCACCTAGTCAACCTAGTCACGCTCAACTTTTATCAGAAGGAATTTAATAGTTCAAATCACATCAACAACCTTTTATAGTCCACTACTGGATCTCATTAGAAAGGAAGTTTTGGCCTACTATACCACACTAACCAGACGGGTTGGTATGGGGTTTGTTTCAAGTTTTCCTACTCTTTGCTATTCTGTTGTCCTACGTAGTTTGCTCCCACAGTCGGTTCTGACGACACCCACATAATTAATATGAAAATATTAAAAAAAATATATTAAATAAACGTAATTATTTTCCCCGTGCAAAAAAACCTTTACCGAAGTGAAACACGAAAAAATTAACAGAATGAAAACTGTTGGAAAGGGAAGTAAATTTTGTTCAACCGTTAAGTTAATTAAGGTCGATATGACTACAGAGGTTTAAATAAAGTAAAATTATAGGGGTGTAATATATTGTTCACGATTTCCAGCGGAACTAAACTTTCTATTGAAGAAAGTTGTATGTTAAAGATGTTGTGAATAGTACAGATAAGAAGAATCAGATAAGTTTTAAGTTAGTCGATTTTTTCGACGGAATTTGCCAGAAACTTCCATTTTTAAACTTTAAAAATCTCATAAAAAGATGATGGTAGATTGTGGAAGAGAAAAAAAAACATACGTGGAAACAGTTCCCGATTTTTTTAAAGAATTTGAGGCTATGTAAAAAAATTGTTTGTATTACAATTTACAATTACAATTTAGTCAGTTTACAATTATAAACTTTACCGTCTAGTCATCACTAATTTCATAACTAAGTATATTATATTTTCAATGAACGTTATTTGCCGAGAAAAGAAGAATGTCCGAGTTCAGACATCATTGTGCAAGAATAACGCAAGTGATGCTTGCATAAATTATTCTCTAA